CTAGTGTTATGATAAGAAGAATATATACATGTATAATAACAAAAAAATGTAATGGAAGAGTTATGTCCATATGGATTGATTAGTATGCTGTTTACAAATCAATCCTACGAAGTAGGGCAGCATTACTTTCAGTAAAGTATTTCTCTCTTTGATTAAAAGTCGAAAGTATAAAAATTGTGGACTGATCTAGTTATCTTTGGATTTTCCCGGACTATTGGTAATTAATATAATTCTATTTATGTAAATTTTAAAATATATTGTATGTATTGAAGGTACTCATTAGAACTGATTTCGATTTCGTTAATTTTATGGCTAAATTCGCTGAATTTATTAATAAAAAAAAGGAAAAATCTGTGTCCACCTGGTACCTTTAACGAGATACGTTTTCTGATAGTATTAGTAAAGCCAAAAATCAGAATGAAGCACTCCTCCTGTTGAGAATAAGAATGACTGCCTATGATAGTTGGCGAAGAGCTCACGCACCATTCTGCACGAATGACGATTCCGCGAATTCATCAGTTTCACAGTTCGCAGCTTTCTGCTTCCAGTGGGCTCACGTTCGACTTAACTAACTCTTGTTCAATTCCTATTGGGTCTTCATTTTTTAACTTCGTTTTTTATTTATTTTTATTAAAAATTTGTATTAATTAATAAAATTCAAAAGAAGTCGAAAATTAGATTTACGAACTGAAAAAGTTTTATTTTATTATTTTATGTTTATATTTTCCTTACTAGCCTCTGCTGTTCTATTTATTTTTATTTCCTTTATTTTTATTGATTAAATTAATAATGATTTTTGAAGTAGCTAATTAGTTTTCATAGCAGAACGATGTTTAATATAAGTCATTATAACGAAAAAAATTATCTAAAAAATGATTAACCCCACACAGCTACATCATGCAGTGCTGTAAAGCACCTTATTTAGGGAATAAAAAGTTCTTCTACCTTAGACATGTCACTTCAATACCTCAAATGAGGATCATTGCTTATGTATTTTTTAAAAATTATAAATAGAACGAAACAGAAAGTAAATCAACAGATTTACGCTTTGTTGTTATTATTAAAAAAATATGTTTTAAATTTTAATAAATTCTGAATAAAGATTAATCTAATAATTAAATTCAATATTATTTGGCGAAAATTTTAGAAATCAGAAAGATTAAAATAAAAACTGATTTATAATAAATGTTTAAATTTACATTGTAAATTTAAAAATAATTAATAAAGGCTGGAACTAAAGATTCAAGGATAAACATTATTTCTTATTAAAAATATCTACGTTCTTCGTTGATATAGTATTCTTATTTTAAAATGGTTAATATTGTTGTATTTTATGATTTTTTCACCTGTTTCTCCTCTGATGATTGTTATAAAAAAAAAAAATATATATATATATACATTGTTATTGCATATTCTCTCCTAAACATTCTCTTTCCCGATCATTTGACATATACATCTGCGATGGACTTAATAGATTGCTATGTTTGTAGATTTCATCTCTAGTTATTTTCAATTATCTGTGATGCAATGTAAATTCCGCAATCGACTTTTTTCAGATGTTAGGAACTTTCTCTCAGGCTAAAGTACATGTTTATGTATAATGGGCAGCAAATATCCGATGCAATGAAGTATAGAAACATATTCATTAGATTTTTAAAAAATTTCTATAAGTACTAAAAAAATAACTCATGAAAATATAATAAAAAACATGAATTTTTTTTAAAATTATTTTTAAAACGGTGTATGCGGAATAAGTGTTAACTGAAAACCGTTAAAAATTAGACATGTCCTTTTTTTTTGGGGGTGTCTGCTTCTGTAAATTAATAAATAATTATGATATATAATAACATAGCATGGGAAATAGTAAAAGAGTGTTAATTGAATTTCGTTCCTCCATTCCAATTTTCATTACTACGTAATATGGGGATAGAGAAACTAAAATAACAAAAAAACAACTATAAAGTTGCCAGCGTTATTTACGAGGACAAATAGAGAGGTGGCCTGAATTGTAGAAAGAAATCTAAGCTTTCTCATTAATTACTTTATTGATTTTCCTTTTGTGTAGTGCCTTGCCTCATACTATCATAGTATTTTTTCCCTCTAGTTATCTGTGTAATTTCGTCACTCTATATTTTATTTTTTAATAGCTATTTATATATATAGGTATACCTAAATTAACATTATTTGATACTATAGTGATTTCGAAAATTGATGAATATGTTTTGACTGTCATGAAGTGGATTTTACTTTCTATCCGGTATATTTTAAAAGAATATATATATATATATTTATTTATCATAGTGAATATATATATATATATATTTATATATACCGTATAAAAATTATATACAATAAATAAAAATAAAATAATTTAAAGATAATTAAACAACAAAAAAACACAGATTTAGCTATATACAATATATATATATATATATATATATATATATATATATATATATATATATATATATTATATAATGCTTATTGAATATAATTTTTTATTATTATTTAGTTGTTATTCTGCTTCTATTAATTGTATTTTTTATGTATATATAATGTGGATGTAGTCTCACTTCACTGTAACCATTTTCTGTGTGACTGAACGTTATATTACTCAATAAATAAATAAAATAAAAAATATCAGGAGATTTGCCACTTTTTTCGAAATTGTTGAAAGATCTATAGTAGGTATTAATTCAGTTCAGTAAATGTTACATATTTAATGTTGCACTAATGATTATATCTAGTCTGTTGAGAAAAAACAGCAGTTGTGGTTTAACCATTTTCGAGACAATCTAGCTAATGTTGTTTATCTAGGAAGTAATTATAGTTCATAAAAGTATTATGATTGAACGCACAATACATGACATTACACTTTTTTTCGTGGGCTAGGTCAGAGGGCTATGAATTAATGCCAAAGTTAAAAGTCCTTTCGGCACCGGAACGCCAACTCGCAATTATTTTATCATGTTTATTTAAGCTTATTATCAGGTTGTCGAGAGACGCGTGTTTTTCACACACGTCAGCTTGTTCGGTCACCTCGCCACACAGTGGGACGAGTAAGAGAAAACTCGCGACATTTATTTAAATCTTTTTTTTTTTATAACTCCAAAAACTAAAACTAACCGTTTTATTGATACATTGATACATCCCTATGGAACTCCATCCCTCTCCACATCCGTCAATCCAAAACCCTTCCTACCTTTAAATCCCGACTATTTAATCATTTCTTATCCATCCAGTCCTCATAAAATTGTAAATAGTTACTATTGTGAATATGTATATAAATTATTAGATCGTTCTTTATTATTTTTACTTCCTGTTTATTTTCAATTTTTCATTTTTCATTATTAACTGATTTAAATTAGAAAGTAACTTATAATTTCTTTTATTATTTTTTATTTTGACTATTTAATTAAACTATATTCTTGTTTGTGTATCTCTGAGGCTCCTTAGCCCACATTTTTGTCTTTCTGTATTATTCTAAAGGGACTTGTCCCAGAATAAATAAAGCATTATTAGTATTATTGTGTTTGTTCGTTGAGTTTCCGAGAATATTTTTAGTTAGCAGAATATACATTTTTCTCTGTTTTTATTGAATAGTTCAATTGAAAAAAAAAATTAGCGGATAGCGCGTTTTCCCTTACTTGTCCCACTGTGCGCACAGGCCCTTGTTCTCGCGATTCAAGTAGAAAGCAAATAAGTGTTGATTGATTTACATTATTGAATAATTAATTTACTATTTTTTTTGTGGATTATTTGTATATTGATAAATATTACAATCTGTCTCAACAAAGGACATTTATAATAGAGTTCTGAGAGCACATTCACACCATATTTACAAATTAAAAAAAAAAAATTAATTAGTTTACTATTAAATAGCCAACACTGTCATCACCACCTATGCCGATGACACGTGTATCCTATCAGTTAATAACGATCCTTTAATTGCATCCCAAACTCTTCAATCACATATCACAAGCCTTGAAGAATGGTGTAAAAATTGGAGAATAAAAATAAATTCCAACAAATCCCATCAAACCACCTTTACCCTCCGTCGTAAACCTATGACTTCTTGTCCTACAGTATCCTTCAATAATACTCCACTTATTCCTGTTGAGCAAATCCGCTACTTAGGACTCCACCTTGACAAACGACTCACTTGGAACCCCCATACCAGACTGAAACGACTAGAAACCGCCCGACGTTTTCGACTACTGCAGCACTTACTAGACAAACGATCTAAGCTTTCAATCAATTATAAACGACTCGTATATATGACAATAATAAGACCTATTTGGACTTACGGAATTTAGCTTTGGGGCTCCACTAAACCATCGAATTCGTCTCGTATCCAGTCCTTACAATCCAAAATCCTTCGTAAAATCCTCAACGCTCCTTACTTTGTCACAAATAAAATCATCCATAAAGACCTTAATGTTCCATATGTTTCCCCAATCCAGATACCTTCCATAACAAACTGCAGAACCATCCGAATCCTCTCGTTTCAAACCTTGCTTCTTCCTCGATCCCTGATAACCCTCCGAGGCGTCTGAAAAGAAGATGGCCTCGGGATCTTCTAATATAGAACTTTAATTTGAGTTCTACCAATGGGTAGTTTCTCTTCATGTTGTACATGCCATGTTACCAATTTCTCATTTACTTATTGTATTCTCTATGTAATACAGTTGTAAATTCCATTAAAATAATAAAAAAAATATTTAAAAAAAAAAGACTATTAAATAGACTTAGTTGTAGGTAAGGATAGGATGAAACCATCCACCATGTTTTATAAGTAAGTTAATAATTTGATAAAAAGGGGTCTGTACCGCGAACTATAGTCTAGCATCTTGTTTTCGTTTAAAATTTTCCTTGACCGAAGAAGCCTGACTTAGAAGATCAAAACAAAAAGAGTTTTGGTAGAGTAAGGTAGAGACGTACACCGCTAGTAGAAAACGTTATGTAAGATACGACAAGCTGGGATAAAAAAAAAAAACGTTATGTACAGTCAGGCCGCGGGACCAAGCGGACTGGGATTTTGGGACCACCGAAGGCTCTCCTCTTCGGGACCAACTGTGGGGGGGAGGGGAGCGGAGGGTGGGGGGCACCCGCGGCACCACCGCCAGTTCGCCCTGGCACCTCGCCGCGGTCACAGATGGGGTTTTCCGCCGAGTGTTCTTAGTTCACTGTCGTCTGTCTGTTGTACGTCTGTCTGCCGGTTAGCAAGGAATATGATCATATCCAAGGACCTCTTCCTCCTCGGGGATCAGGACTACCTCCGCCTTCCCAAGGACGAGAAGAGGGCGATGGCTAGGCCGACAACCACCAAGAACCTCAGGTCAGTGCCTCATCTTTGTCTGCATCCTCACTAGTTGATGCATCACTATCTATCTCTGTTGCACTTTCAAAATTAATATAATTTATATATTTTTAAAATAAGGAAATAGGTTCATGTCAACATGTACGTAAATAGTTGATAAATAATATAAAGATAAATAAAACTGGATGTGAAAATAGAGCGAAACCTGGGAGCACATAGGCCTCAGAGGACGGAATTAGATTTCGTTTCGTAACGGGGCGTAGACGTGAAATTTTTTAAGGCATGATAGAAAGTGAAATGTAGATAGTTTATGTAAATAAAGGATTGGTTTTGGTTTGGTAAGTGTGGAAAATACTTTAAGCGAGTGTAAATTTAGTTGTGGACCGAGCCGTAGGGCCAAGTCAACGACCCCGCTCAGAAATAGCCCTTCCCCGAGGAGTGATAAAGTATGCCAATGCCTGATAACACGTCGTCTCTCTCTCCGTACGATTCCTCTTTCTCCTCTTTATGTGCCCTTGTACTTTTATTTTATTTTATTTTATTATTCTTATTCGATTTAAGTTTCGGAAAACCATTTAACAAGAGGCCGGTTTTGGTGTTGCGGTGTGCTCGGCCACCATCGGGTGAAAGTGATCTTCCAGGTTCTCTCTTATCCTGGCTACCTCTTTCCTTACTTTATTTCCTTCTCGTATTTTATCAACTCTCATTATTTCGTATAACTGAATCTAAAAAGACTATTTGAATCAACTGGTCTCGAAATATCATTAAAATTCGAAAATTGTCCAATTATAGCTAATATAGTTTTTACTTAAATTTTCTAAGAATTACAAATGAATAAAGATTGCAGAACAACAATTTAATATCCTAACTTTAATTTAAATTTATCCGTTTCATTATTTTTATTGTGGTTATCATAAAAAGAGAAATTTAGCATATATTTATATTTCATATTTCTGTACCACTCACGTTATTAGACCTTATTGAAGAATCACATTCCATAATTATTGAGTTTTATTCTCAGAATTAATAAATTTCTTTAATTTAAAATTGTAAAAAATAAACACATTTGAAATTTGATATTTGAAAATATATTATTCAAATCTTCAATAAGGACAATTATATTATTTGTGTATTTTTATCATATTTTAGTAATTATTTAATTAATTATACTATACTATATAAGCATAGAATGATCTGCAATGCTTTATATATACATATTATATACAAACATGTATACTGTTTTTATTCCTTGTTGAATATTCTATTATCTATATTTCTGTTGATAAAGATTTTTTAATAATTTCCAATTGATGAGGATGATACCACATATTTTTCTCTAAGAAGGATTCCATGATTGTATATATTTATGCTCAAAATAGAAATTATTATTCAAAAATAATTTATAAGAATGTTGACATTCTTTCATAATTCTACAAAAATATTTTTACATTTAGAAATTAATTTTTTATTTGCACTTGAAAATGTTTAATGAATTTGTTTGTTTATTTTTTCTCGAGTCAGAGAGCGAAATCAGGATTTTTTTAAAAATGATTTTTACGGTTATGGAATTTAGGAAAATTTAATATTATATTTTTCATATTTAAAAAAAAAATGGAGATTATTTTTTTATTGCATATAAATAAATATAAAAAAACAAAAACAATATTCCATGGCGCAGGCGTAGTAAGAACGGCCCCACCGTGACGGTTTGTGTGTTAGTGGGGGAAGGGAGAGTGAAGGGGAGAGAGAAGGTGGTTCACTAGCCCATTTCCCGCTGCCATGGTAACCTATAAACAACGACTATGGAGGAAAATCTATGTTTTCATCCGACATTTGTATCATTCCTTCCATTTTAATGAGTAATCATTTAAAATTTCATTGCCAAACGATCAAAACTCACCCAACCTCGGAATTTTGAAATTATTTACTAAAAAAAAAAAAAAAAAATTTTACACATATTTACCTAAGAACAACATTTGTAGAAACCATTGGAGCAGAAGCAAATAAAAACATCCACTAAAAATATGTACTAAAACAATAGAATGGTTGTAAGAAAACTAAAAAACCTATTTTTGTTTGAATACACTATACTTACCGTTATTTGAACCGTTGTTATTTGACAAGATTATATTTCATTCTTTAATCGAAGCTCCATATTACAGCAGTGGGATCAAATTAGATAAAAAGGCGTTGACTTCCTGTATGTAATTGTTTATTATTTTTACTACAGGTTTTGGTCCTTCATTAAATGTAATAAAACCCAAAATTTACAAAATAATATTTAAAATATATAAATACGTAAAAATTAAACATATTAAGTAAAAACTAATTATTACCGTATTTTTGTCAGTCCTCCTCTCGTGTTTGTCGATCGAAAACAAAAATAAAACTGTTGGCCAAATGGGCTTTTCTCATCTGATTAATTAACGGATTAACAAGTGCTCAATTCTCAAATTGAGTATTACGGACATTTAGTTATTTTTTAATTGTTTTCTTCCCGATCTCTAGTTTTTCAAGAAAATCCATTCTTTTATTTGTGAAATTTTATTATTCTGACCTGTGAGACATAAACTTAAGTGTAAATAGACATATAATATAAAGATCAAACATTTTAAATACTCTGGAAGATTTTATTTTTAAGTTTTTAATTTAAAGAGAATGGAGAAAATTAAAAAGATGTTCTGTTTAATTTCATCCTCATATACATTGTTCAGTGACAATGATTTACTTTTGGTTCATATGAATGTACCCAATTTTACATCCCTTACATTACATTACATCGCATAGATACAATTTTTTCCATTAATATTTGTTTTAAAACTTATTAAGATATCCCGAAATTTACTTTTGAGAAATCTGTCATAATTTAATGAATGGTATGTAGTAGAATTTCTCGAAGTGCGTTCAAACATTTCAAACACTATGGAACAAAGAAATATGTAAACGTTTATTTCACATTCACATTCGTTTTTTGTTTCTCGATTTTGATATTTTCCATCTGGTGTTGGTATCAAAAGAAATAAAACAAATAGTTTGATTTAGCAATAATTTCGCTGTTTGTTAAATTAGATAATTGAGTTCCATAGATTGTGAAATGTCTAAACGGACCTCCAGCTTTACTGTTTCAATCATATTCAAATACGAGCCTTTCAGTTGACAGAATGACTAACTCCAATTTCAAGATTTTAGAGTAAAGTGATTTTAGTGATATTTCCAGTTGGAAAATTTATAATATATTTATAATAAGTTGATTCCGGAGTAGGTAGATTGCAATGTTGAAATCTAGATCTGTGAATGAAGATATAAATTTTCCCACTAGAAATATTACTGAAATGAATAATAAAAATATTATAATTGGAGTTAGCCATTCTGTCAACTGAAAGGCTCATATAATAGTCAGTCATATTCTGACTTACCTAAATGTAGTTCATAATTTCGAAACTATGTAATTATCAGAATGGAATTTACTCTCTTTCCTTAATAATTACGAAACTCAAACATCTTCGTCCTTAATAATATGTCAGTAAATAAGATAACCAGCTAGTTCCGTGTACTTGTTTGCATTATTCTTTTTTTTTTTTTAAATGTAGTGATTTTTATTTATTTGATTTCTTTTATTAATGATTATTGTAGTAAAAAATCATTTGTTAATAATTAATTTTAATGTTTTATATTACTCATTTATTTTGTTTCATTTAATATTTCGTACAGTAATGCTTATATTGTATTTGGGATTCATTATTTTTTTTTCTTTTATTTAATCCATATTAATTTTCATTGTTTCAAAGCATAAAAATTATAAAATACAATAGATAAGTAAATATAAAGAACGTTTTTTAGACCTTTCATTGCCTAGGAATCCCTTTTATATTCAATAATTCATATCCATCGAAAAATAAATATGTTTTTTCCACGAATATTGACTTTTTATGTACTATGTAATCAAAAATAAAATAATATATATTTTAATATTAAGAAAAAAATTAAAATAATTCAAAAAACAAAATGAAAATAATTAAACAAACATCAGCATCAATGATAATTAACGTGAAACATTTATGGGAATAATAATTATTAGATCAAGTCAATTACAGAGAATGGAACGATTCACGAATAGTGGAACTGTTAGTAATAATTATCGGTTTTTAATTAATTAATTCCCTGTCCAGTTAATCTATGTCATTTTGCTTCACGTTCTAAGGTAACAGTATTTGTTACGCTCTGTTAGTGTTAGACATAGATTAACTGGACAGGGAATATATATATATATATATATATATATATATTAATAAAGAAACCAGCTGGTTGCTTTAATTATTTTTAGAAAAATTTAAATATTAGGCTTACGAACATTTAGTTAGTTATATGGATAAATGGATAAATTTCTATAGTAAAGATTTTTTTTTTTCTATAATAGAAAAAATGTTTTTCATTCTTTCTTTAGATGATAAATATTCGAAAAATCATTACATAAACAAAAGTGTATTTATGTTAATTATAATGATTTCCAGCTAATGGAAAAAATAAAATAAATTAAAAGTTTTTCAAAATTTATTTTTCACATTTTTTCCACAAACAAAAATTGGTACTTTTAGGAGCATGATGTCAAATCACCTCATTTGTTTAGACAACTTGACGTGAATCTCAGCTTATTTTTTAATAAATCTCAACTTATTAATATGAACTTAAAGCTTATTAAACAAGAAAGTTTGTCTAAAAGCGTATCATCTGTGTACTTGGATGATGATAAAAAAAAATTGCGAATAATGCATGATTTTTTTTAAAAACAGAACTTAGCTTTATTTATCCACTCAAAAGTCCTACGTGAATAATTTTAGCAATGACAAACTCTACTTTTATTTGAAGTAAATTTTGTCTAGTTTACTTTGAATCAATTGCTAATTAAATTAAATATTTTTTTATTTATCGTTTCATATTCAACAAAAAACGCTACTTACCTAAAAAAAAACAGGCAAATCTTAAATATCCTACTTTTCTGCAGAAAATCGAACCATTATTAATTTGAACTTTTATATTGCTCTATGGGTCTAT